ATATGTATTGAGCAACTAGGAAACCCACTCCTTTGACCACTGTGTTTGAAGAATCGTTTTATCAGAGCAGGGAAAGAAGAATCTGCTCTCTTAAAATGCCCAAGCAGTGTTTCCTGTCGGTTTGGGAGTCAGAGCCATCCAGGAAAATTGCTAGTGGCTCTGTCTAATTAGCACTCCTGCCACCTGCAAACAACTGGTACTAAAAAAAGGTGCTGAATTCCTGCCATTGAAAATGCCAAAAAAGACACCACCACTTTCACTCTGAATCTTAGAATCTAATAGTTCACTGATTTGGGCAAAGAAAGAAAATACATTTTCATTTTCATTCAAAGGAAATGACTGCTAACAACAAGCCATGTCCCAGAAACTAGCACACCTGGATGAGTTCCCCAATCCAAGGAGCTAGCATCCTCTGTCCTCCTGGCCCAAGGCTCCTCTGCTTCCCATGGAAACCTCCTCCCTCCTTAGGTCCAGCCTGAGACCTGTCTCCTCCAGGAAGCCCTCCTGACCAGCCCAGCTCTTACAGATCATCCCCGAGACCCCACAACACTTGGAGTCTTTTCCCCACATCTGAGCACTAAGTTATGTTTCTTCATAACAACTGTTTTTACCTTAGCCTCTGTCAAGAACAAGAACCAAGTACAGTAGTCCCACCTTATCTTAAGGGAATACCTCCCAAGACCTCCAGTGGATGCATGAAGCTGTGGATAGTACCAGACCCTACAGGCATTGTATTTTTTCCTGTACTAACAGGCAGGTGGTGGATATGCTAGACAAAGAGCTGATTCACATCATGGGCTTCCCTGATAGCTCAGACGGTAAAGAATCTGCTTGCAATGCAAGAGACCTGGGTTTAATCCTTGGATCAGGAAGATCCCCTGGAGAAGGAACTGGCTACCCACTCCAGTATTCTTGCCAAGAAAATTCCATGGACAGGAAGGCTATAGTCTTCCTATCGACTTCCTTTGGAGTTGCAAAGAGTTGGACATGACTGAACAATTAACACCTTCACTTTCAATGGGCAGGTGGTAGATACACAGGACAAAGAGGTGATTTACATCCTGGGCAGGATAGCATGAGATTTCATCACACTACTCAGAATGGCACGCAATTGAAACCTATGAATTGTTTTATTTCTGGAATTTTCCATTTAATATTTTCAGACCGAGGTTGACCACAAGTAACTGAAACTGCAGATAAGGATGGGGTGTGAGGGGGAAATTCTATATTGCATTTGGATGCTTCCACCCCTTTTCAGAAACAGGCAGGGTGAAGCTGAGCAGAGTGTGAGGCACCTTGTACTTTCCCCTCACTCCTGAGAGCACCCACCAAAAGGCTGGGCAGGAGGCCCTCTGCAGACTGCTGATTGCAGGACCAGGATATGTCTTCACCACAGAGCAGGGTGGCCACAGCGAAAATACAGCAGCTGTGACTTCTTACTTCCTGCTCTAATCAACACCATGGGGCTGAAATGCAGGACACACAGTAGGTGCTAAATAGATTTTTATGGATTGATTAACCACTGGAGGGACAGTGACTTATGTAGGATTTATTCGTGCTTTTGATGCCAAATGAGGGTGATTTTAGCAGAACAGAATGTTAGAAAAACAAAACAGCAAACACAAAACCCGCCCAGCCGCGAGGCTGGCTCCTGCTCTATTTATACCCACTGTGCTCCTAGAAACAGATGTCCTCTCAGACCTGAGGGTTTCTGATGAGGGGTCCACTCTTCCTAGTGACCTGTGCATTCAGTAATCAGAGACAAGACTTTCCTCTTCCACACCAGCCCTCTGTGAGGCCAAATCAGCCTCCACTGTGTCTTCTCCAAGGGAGAAGACCTGGGTTAATGACAAAGGAAACTACATTTGAGTGCTGAGTATGATGAAAAGGACAAAGGCTTTGGAAACAACCAACCAGACTCCGTTTCCAGCTCTTCCACTCACTGGCTGTGTGATTTCAGATCACCTACCCTCTCTGGGCTTCCCTGATAGCTCAGTTGATAAAAAAAAAAACCTGCCTGCAATGCAGGAGACCCCAGTTAATTCCTTGGTTTGGAAGATCCGCTGGAGAATGGATAGGCTACCCTCTCCAGTATTCTTCAGCTTCCCTTGCAGCTCAGCTGGTAAAGAATGTGCCTGCAATGCGGAAGATCTGGGTTTGATACCTGAGTTGGGAAAATCCCCTGGAGAAGGGAAAGGCTACCCACTCCAGTATTCTGGCCTGGAGAATTCCATGGACTATACAGTCCATGGGGTCGCAAAGAGTCAGACACAACTGAGTGACTTTCACTTTCACTCACCCTCTCTGGGACTCAGTGCTTGGGGCCAAGAACACTAATTCCACAGTTTGCTATGATCACTGACCAGGTATTGTGGGTAGAATACCTGGTACAGTGCTTGGCATAGTGCAACCACTGAGCAAATGAACGTTTTCTTGTGGTTATGATTATAAACACAAACAAGGAGAGAAGTCCATCTCAGCCACAGTGGGCACTCCCAGACAGTCCTGCTGTGGCTTCTTCGGGTGATGGCAGTAGCCTTTCCAGCACAAAGTCCTCATCTGACAGACTGCACAAAGGATGGTCTATGCTCTGAGCCGGGAATGCATGTTCTGGTTTATTCCAGTCTACCTCTCTGGGGACCACAAGTCCACTCCTTCACAATCCAGCCACTTGGAGCATAGTCCTGACCTCAGAGCTCAGCTTGGGGCATCTCTGTCACGACAGGCAGGGCTGGCTTTCGAAGCTCACTCCACAGAGCTCGATCGTGAGTTTCATGGAGAAATCTTTAACCAGAGCTGAAGAGCTCTCGCGTCTAACACCCAACAAATCCCATTTACCACGAAGAGAGATCCATGCTAACCATGGAGCTTATCCCAAAACCCACAGAGTAGGGCCCTGAATAACCCAGAACAGATCCCAGCTGCCGGCAAGGTCTACACAGACACAACACAAACCAGATCCAGTCACCGAGACCCTGGGGAAACAGGGACAGATGACACGAACTGAAGTGGGAGTTCATGTCTAGACCAGAGGGGACCCTTCCTGAGTGCAAACCAAACAGTCCCTAGCTGGATGGAGCCCCACTGCAGGGGAAGATCTGGGATTCAGACTCTGGAAATTCTTATTTGCATGCAGGCTCTGGGATGAGAGAAGGGTGGGGTGAGGACAGGGGAGATGAGCCCACTGTGATTCTAATTCACACAGCTTTCCTCATTCTCCTGATAAGCTGGCACCCCTGGTGAGCTCTTATCAAGATCCAACCCTGAAGGCTTTGCAACACTCCAGCATGGGCACCCTGGGCATCACCTGGGTGGATGCAGATTCAGCAGAGCCTCTCTTCTCTGATAACGCCCTTGGGGAAACTGGGAGAATCCTTACACCTTCACCCAGAGATGTAGCTGAAGGATTCTTAGAGTGCTTATTTCCTGCTTTCATTTGAGGATCACTGAAAATGATTTGTCAGACATTACGACTGCCTCAAATGACCAGATCTTAACCTATCCCTTAGCCTGCAAACCTCAGCCACATTTCCATAATGTCTACACCTGTGCTGTGTAGCCTGGTGGATCCCACAGCTCACAGCGGGTGAACCCACATAGATCATTTCAGAGCACTGCTTCCTACCACATGAATGAACACTGACTCACCTGTGCCTGCCTTCTCCTCTTCGCTCTCAGTGCTTGAGGTGTTAATTAAGTCCTCCTTAAAAATCCCAAGTTAATCCTTTCTCCTTTCTCCTCTCTACATTACCCTTCAATCACTTTGCATGTACCAGGTTAAGAACTTAGCATTCAGACCACACCTCGCATTCCCCTTCAGGTTGTTGGAGGTGCTTTCTTGCACCGGCTCCCACCTGCTCCCTTTCCAAGGCACCCCCCTGTCGCCCTCTCTTCAAAACGCCCCCCTTTCCCTAGCTGATCCCCACCATCAAGGGTGGACTCCTTTACCTGTGTACTCTCCCCTCCCCTAGGCTTCACACACCAAAACTTCATCCGATTTATTTTCTTCTTCTTTTCAGGAAACGCAGTTACTCCATTCAGGGAACACCAATGGGGCCATTTCCCCAGTGTTCTCACTCCCTTTCACTGGCAGTCCTCCGGCTACCCTCAGTAGATTATTATTATTTATTATTTATCAGCCGCCACACTGTACTCTGCTTCCCACAAGATATTAAAGAAGACACAATCCCTGAACTGAGTTCACAGCCGGAGAGCAGAGGCCTGGATTCAGACATCACAGGAGTGAGCTGAGCGAGAGAGATTTACCAGTCACCCCTCCCCCGGCCCCGGCAGCGGGGGCCGCGGGGCGGGACCTGCAGAGCCCGCCCCGGGCTGGCTCCTCCTAGTTTTAGCCAAAGAATGAGTAGGCCCCCTGCCTTCCACAACTCCCCCCCTCTCCCCAATTTCCACCCAGGCCTCAGGCCTCAGCGGCTTTGCCCTGGGGAGTTCGGGGCAGAGGCTGTAGCCCAACAAGACGTTACATTCAGGCTGGAGATGGGGGATGGTGGGGGGTGGGGGTGGGGGGAGATACATTTCCTCTGAAATCAAAACCAAATGAAGGGGTAAGGTAGGGGAGGGAAAGAGGTCAGGGAATAAAAACCAGATCTAGATCTACCAAGAAAGGGGAGACTGGTGCTGAAATTAAATGCTCTGACACAGTGGATAAGCCCGCAAAGGGGCTGCCACGGGCCTCTAGCCAAACCTCTCCTATGAAGGTGGAAGTTAGGGTCCGTGGAGACCGCACGTGGAGACAGAGAAGTGATGGGACTAAGGAAGTCGGTGTAGACAGAACGGGAGTTAGTGAAGACATGGAAGGCTGGGGTGGCCAGGGCAGGGGCTGTCGAAACAGAGAGGGGTCCTGGGGACTCAAGAGGGTCGGTGTAGACAGGAGAGTCCGTGGACACCGAGGGGAGTCGAGTCTGCACGGACTAGAGAGGGTCGGTGGTCAGGATTTACGGGGCCGGCCGAGGTTCTTCAGGGACCTGGACAATTCCTGCTCCTTACCGTGGCTGGAGTGTCATAGGGAGGGCGGAAGCTGGAAGACGATTGGACTTCTCGTTCTCAAACTTTTCCGCCAGTTTCCTCAGGTGTTGAGCGCGGCCGGGGAGCTCGCCTCTGTCCCGTCCGCCGAGCTCCGGCCGGCGGGGCCGGGAGGCCCGGGGCGCAGGAGGCCGGGACCAAGCGCCGCGCATCTGCCGGGCGCGGCCGCCGAGCTGGGCAAGCCGGGAGCCACCGCAGGGGGCGGGCGGGGGCGGCGGACGGACGGATGGACACACCCGCGAGCACTCCGCCCCGGGCCCCGGCGCGCCGCTGCCTGGGATCCCTCGGGCCCGCGGAGCAGCGCCGGGTGCCCGGTCGGGGGCGCCCCGCCTCCCCCACCCTCCGCCCCCGCCCACTCGGGCGCCCGTGATTGGCTCCGCCCGCCCCTGGCTGCGCGCCGAAGCCCGCCTCCCTCGCAGCTAAAGCAGACGGTACCCGGAGCGGAGCGAGCCAGAAGGGAGCATGGTCCCCGCGCCGCGGCCGCGCCAGCCCCCGCCGCCGCCGCTGCCGCCGCCGCGGATCTAGCTGCAGCCCCGGCCCCGGCTCCGCAGGGCCCGCCCGCAGTCCCCGCGGCCGCCGTGCCTGAGCGCAGCCCCCGCCCGGAGCCCAAGCCCCGAGCCCGGAGCCAACCCCAGCCCCGCGGCCGCCGCGGCTGCGGGGAGAGCCGGGGGGGTGGGGGGGGAGCGATGCTGCCGGAGCCGCCGCCGCCGCCTCGGTGAGAGCCGCGCCGCGCCGCGCGTAGCCGCACAGGCTGACAGGCAGAAGGACTGACTTCCCTCTCCCGGGCATCCTCCCTGGGCTGCCGGGAGGCGGCGGCGGAGGAGGAGGAGAAGGAAAAGGGGGGAGAAAGCGGAGAGCAGGAACGCAAGGAGGAGGTGGACCTGGATCCGTTTCTCCCGGCCAGGACCCGAGCGGCCCCAGCCACCGCTGCCCGCCGGCGCCGTCCCCTATCCATCAGCCCTTCTGCGCCCACTCGCGACCCCAGACTCTCTGCGCGTCGGGCCGGGGCCAAAGCCGCGCGGCCGGAGGTAAGATGCGGGCTAGGGCGTCAGGGATGCGGCGCCGGGGACCCAGGGTGCTGGAGGCTGCGTGGGGCCGGGCCGGGCTTGGGAGCGGGGCCGGAGAACCCGGAACGCTGGGCTCGGCTCCCGCGGCGGCGGCGGCGGCGGCGGCGGCTGGAGCCTCCCGCGTCTGGACTCGCAAGGCTGCAGGAGCCCTTGCGCCTGCGCTGCTCCGGGGGGGAAAAAGGGGGGGGAAAAAACTTCCTGCCCCCGTGTGTGTATGCCCCCGGGCTGCCCGGGGCCAATGTTGCGGTGGTAGAGGGTGCTGGAAGCGAGTGTGACCACCCCCCCTCCACCCGACCCCCGCCGAAGCAGCCCCTCAGCTGGGCCCGAGAGCTTGCGTCCCTCTCCAAGCCACCTCCCTGGAGCGGCCCAGGGCCCGGGCCGGGCTGGGGGCCAGGAGGAGGCACCCGAGGGCAGGACTCTGGGGGCGGCACGCGCCCGACCCTTTGGGGAGGTGCGCGCCTCTGTGCGGCGGGAAGCCAGGTTGGGGTTTCTGCCCCCTCCCGTCCTCAGACCCCTCATTTGGGGACCGGGTCTCTTCACTCAATCCCAAGTAACTTTCGAGGCAGAGGAACGTGAAAACCACGGGTAGGAACCCCGCACAGACCTTCTGTGACCCCCTCCCCTTCCCCGAGCACCTTGTGGGTGCCAACGTGTTTGGGGGGCGCGGAAACGAGAGCGTACCAGCATGGTGGGGCGGCGAGGATGTAGGGTTGGATGGGGAGGGGTTGTTTATGTGCGGGATAGTGTGGACGGGGAGATGTGTGGTGTGGGAGTGTGGGCTTACGCCCTGACTGCCGCGGGAGGTGCCGGCTGGCAGAGGGCTCACGTCCGGGTCTCTGTGGCCTGGAGCGGGCCGAGAGCTCGAGGGTCATCTGCGATCGCGGCGCGGGTACGGGCTCTAGGCAGTGCGGGCCCCGGGCCCCCAGGGAGGGGAGCTCTCGCCCGGGGTCGAGAGAGCAGAGTCTAGATCCCGGATAGGTCCGAGGCAGCTCCCAGGTCCGAGGCAGCTCCCGGGCAGGTCAGGACTGCGTCGGCCGGGGAAGGCGGGGACGCGCCGCCTTGCCTGCTTGCCTGCCTGCAGCCAACGGTGATGGGGCCAAAGCGCGAGTCTCGGGTGCCTGGGTCCGCCAGCGGAGAAGCCAGTTGTGGTTCCTGGGCTCTGAAACGCAATGGCAGACACGGGTCAGTTGGCGGGTCCTGCCGCGGGTCCCTAGGGATGCTGATGGGTGAGGAGCCGCCGCCTTTGCCATCCCTGCCTCTCTGCAAAAGCTCTCCTGGCTCCCTACGGTGCTTGCGCCGCGGCTAGCCCGGGGCGAATCGTGGACGCAGGTATTTATGTAGCATTAAGGGAGACCTCAGCGCTGGAGGGACCGGACCGCTGAGGACGCCCAGCTGCAGCTGCCTACGAAACTTCCACTTCTTCGGCTCAGGGACAGTCAGGCTCCACTATTGCAGGCGCCAGCCTCTCACCAGCTGAGCTTCGCTGGGATTCGGACTCCTCTTGCGGTGATAAATCTGTCCTGGTTACAGCTGTATTTACCCTAATTTCAGTCGCTTTAAAGTCATCTGTCTAGTCACTACAGAGTTCCTTTTCTTGTGTGGTCTTATCTCCAACTCAGCCCTGGGAGGGCAGATTTAAGGAATTATTTCGGTTTAGGATGAATGACAGCAGATTTAATTAGCCCACCTCATTCCTGATGTTTTTAAAAAATTACAATGGAAAGTGCAAAGCTACTTTTCTGGAGTGGGCGTGATGAACAACTTTATCGATTTGTTCCTCCCGACTCTAGGCCAAAACATTGTTGGGTAATTCACAGGTGAATACTTTAAAGGCTGGTTGGCATGCCTGTGTTTGAGTAGTCACACATTTCAGGCATTTATACAAGTATGAAGCTGTGTGCCACTGATGAATATAGTCTCCGTCCTGTACACTCTTCTGAGTGCACTTGATTTATCATCCTGCTATAAATCAGAGAATTACTAGCATATGTGCCCTTAAACTCTATATAAATGTAATGGCATTTAAATTGGTTTATGGGCTGATGCATTTAACCAATTTTAATAACTTTTCTGCACAAGCATCTTGTAAACCATATTCGCCCATGATTAAGAAAAACATTTTCTTCTGTTCAGTCTCTCCATTTGTAGCACAGTTAACGAAAATTTATAGGTCTCCAACTTTCATTTGCAAGCAACAATCTGAACGAAATACCTAGAGTTGTACTGAAATAAAATACCCTATGGTAGCCATGGTAACAAATAGATTAAGGGTTATTGGTTTTCATCTGTATGTGATGGGAGGGAGGAATCTAGGTTGTGTCTTTTTAATTATACTTCTAATGAGTGGTGGTCATACTTCAAGTATTCAGTGCAGGAGATAAGCCAAACTGAGAATTCAGTTCTGTGAGAGGTTTATTGGAACAAAGACTAGTAGAGCCCTGGAGAATGACTTCTGCTAACTGCAGCTTCTCATATCCAGGAAGCAAATAGGTAAAATCTTTTTTATTTTTCAAGTAGATAGATGAGAATTGAGTTAGTCCCTTTAAGATGAGAAAATTTATTTTCCTTATGAGCTCTTACCAAAGGAACCTTTCAATCTGGCCCGTGTTTTCTAGGAATAAACATGTTAGAAGTGTGGATGTTAGTGTGGATTGAGTGTCACAGTTGTTATCAACACCTGTCAGTCTAAGTGAGGCATATCATTAGTCTATTCAAATCTTGCTTATTTCAATATTCATGCATTTCCATGGTGATCCATTCCATTTTGTTTACTTAGTCAACCTTATAAATCTTTGGCATCAATTTCACTTGTACCATCTTTTTTTCTTTCATTTATCAATTGATTTGGCTGCAAATCATTCCCATTTTAAAATGTTTCTTTTTTTTCCCCCCTTCTGCTAGTTCCCAAAAGTTTACACTATTGCTGATTGTATACAGATAAAATAACACCACTGATGCTAATGTATTTTTTTGCATCTTATTTGATATGTGTGTATGCATGGGTTTTTTCTTCTTTTTTCTTCCAGCAGGCTTACCTTAAAGCTTTCTCAGTTTATGGCCTGGGGATGTCAACCCAACCCAACAGAATTGACTAAAGGTTTCCTTCCCTTCTTTCCTTCCCTCCTTCCTTCTTTCCTTTCTACCTTTCTTCCCCTCCTATCCTATTATGGTTCAGGGATTCTTTATGTCTTCAGTTATATCTGGCTCAAACAGACTTTTGGACTTTGTATATTGGAACAAGCCTGTCGTCCTAGGATCTTGTCTCATTCAGTAATAGCCAAAGACAGAAGGTTCTTGAGCATCAGATTATTTTTCTAAATACAGTATATGTTTACTCACAGCGTTGGGTATCTCTGGGATCATGTAACATTGTAAGTTCACTGCACAGGCAGCTTTGCTTAAATGCAAGTGATGATTTTGCTTACCCGCTTTCAACTTTGCTTTCTAATGATGCAGTCCCAAGCTAATCACACCCTGTATATTTCAGAAATATCAAGGCAAGCATTAGCACGCCACTGACTTATTAGGATCAGGAGAAATAATTGGAGCACTTAAGTTCAAAGTCAGATGGAGAAACGGAATTATAACCAATCTTGTGATTCTATAATCGGTCAACTAAGTGCTTACTTGGGGGTAGGGGCAGGAATAAACACCATGAATAAGAAATCCAGCCTTTGGTTGCAGTGGGTGAGGCTAAACCAAGGCAGAAACCATGTAGGTTTACTAGAGAATAAGAGATCTGTTTGCGGGGAATTCCCTGGTGATCCAATGGTTAGAACTTGGTGCTCTGACTGCCAAGGGCCCAGGGTTTGATCCTGGTCGGGGAATTACAATCCCACCAGCAGCGCAGGAAAAAAAAAAAAGGAGAAAGAAAGGAAAGAAGTCTCTTTGGGGACAGATAAATCGCATATAGAGCCAAATGTTTAGAAACTGGGAGAATGTAGTTTGTGCAGATGGTCTTTTGTTATTACTTAGGAAATCAGGATTTATCTCCTAATATGCTAAAAAAAAAAAAAGCCTTAATAATTCGGTTAAGAAGAAAAAGTGTGTCAGAATTCTTTACCTGCCTTCTGAGATCAGGATCACTCTGAAAGCAAACTGATTCTTCCTACAATAGCTACCAGCTTACTTTCCTGAAGTCCTAGGTCAGAAAGGAAATCACTTGAAAATAGGGAAGTTGAAACTGCAGAAAAAGATGAGGTATGTTGATCATTGGAAGGAGCAATACAATTAATTATTTGTGAAATGAACTTTACAGCTTGGGGCATCTCCACCTTTAGGGAGGGAAAGGGAAGATTTCTCATTTCCCACCAGAGAGGATATTTGCATGAAATTCACATGGTTCAAACTCTGGACTCTGTAGCAGTTGATGATTCAGAAGCTAGAACAGTAATGGCAGAGCGTTGTATACGGGATCAGGTTTGGGCCAAGAGGTCAGCTCCCCAAACATTTAAAGGCTGCCATTGGCCACACTGGCATCAATTTTTATAATTCTTTTCTAGAGTTTTGACATATTAAAATCACTGACTCTTTTAACAATATATTAATATATGTGTGTGTATAGGCTTTCCTGGTGGCTCAGCAGTAAAGAACCTGCCTGCAATGCAAGAGATGTGGGTTCAATCTGGGTCCGGAAGATCCCCTGGAGATGGGAATGGTAACATACTCCAGTATTCTTGCCTGGGAAATTCCATGAACAGAGGAGCCTGGTGGGCTATGGCTGCAGAAGTCAAACACGACTTAGCAACTAAACAACAATAACAACAATGTGTGTGTGTGTATATATAAATATTTACACATACATATATCAAATATATATTGTATAAAATGTGTGTATATACACACATATACAAATAAATATTCTACTACTTTTTAAAATAGTGATAAAAGGAAACACATAACATAAACTGTATCATCTTTATCATTTTTAAGTGTACAGTTCAGTAGTGTTAATATTAATATTGTTGTGCAATGGATATCCAGAACTTTTTCATCATGCAAAACTGACACTCTGTACCCATGAAGCGTCAACTGCCCACTCTCCCTCCCCTACTTTCTGTTCCTATACATTTGACTACTTGGATGGCTCATATAAGGAGAAATCCTGCAGTGCATGTCTGTAAATATGGGTGGGCACACATCTCTTCACGATCCAGCTTTCAATCCTTTGGTATATATACCCAGACAAGGGAGTGGTGGATTCTTCTACTTTTTCACAGATGTGTTACATTGATCCTCTGTTGAAGAGAGATGGTGAAAGTGCAGTCCACAGAAGACAGTCAGAGGAAGAATGCAGTAGATTTGTTCTTCCCTTTCTGTGTGTACATTTCCTCACAAGTCTCCCCAATCTCTTTTCTGTTTTGCTTTTAGGGCTTGTGTGAGTTGCAGCAATATGGCATAGTGGCTAAATGAATGGACTTAGTGTCAGAGTTGAAATCTAGTGCCTGGTGCCTACTAGCTGTGTGACCTTGGAAAGATCCTTAATCTCAGTAAACCTCCATTTTCTTTTATGAAACTGGAGGGAATCATCGTGGCCGAGATAACTGCTAAAACCTGCCTCACAGTGTCTAACCTCGAGAAGTACTCTAGAAAGGAGAGCTTCGGTGACAGAGGCAGTCATGATAGAGAAGGCAGCAGCAACCCCTGGAGCTCTCAGAAACCATATACAGCTCTCCTATTAAATTTGATCATAAACATTTATATGCCAGGGTATATATATATAGTATATATATATAGTATTCTGTGAGTCTCACTACCAGAACTTATTCTGAAAAGAGATTTGCATCACAATCATTAAAAATATCCTTGAGTGGATTTGGTATGTGAACTTTTAATTCTGTTTTTAGTATCATAATTTTAGAGTTGATGTGGATTTTAGAGGTCAACTAATTTGCCTATTATTCAATCATCAAACCTGTATCAAGCCCCAATAATATAATAATAACAGCTTCCAGTTACAGCTGCCCACTGTATTTTAGTACTTTACATACATTACCTCTAATCCTCATATCAGTGCTGCAAGATAGGGATTATCCACATTTTTACAAGTGAAGATGAGGCTCAGAAAGGTAATCAACTGGCCCAAGGCCATGAATCTAGCCACACTGTACATCCAAGTTTGAGCCTAGATCTATCAACTACCAATCGGTCTTGTCTTGT